TTAACCTAATTCAAGTTTTGTGCAAAAACGCATGATCGCTCCGGCTCGCCTGGTGCGTTCCAGCGTACGTTTGAGAATGACCCGTTCTGGTAACATTTCCACTTTTCAGTGAACTGGAAATTTGCATTTTTTTCGAAGAGCGAGCATTTACCAGAAAAACGACCGGGTTTCGTGCAAAAAACTGACAGTCATTTACCTGGTGGTCCATGCTTTTCTTTAATGCAACACCTTCATCCCAACCGACGCCCTTTCTGCTGCGTGCTGGAAGAGGCCAGAGCACGGCCAATATGAGCCCAAGTGTTACGCTACAGCGCAGGAATCATTCCTACTATTAGCGATCTGTGAGTTTAATGCAAAAACGCATGATCGCACCGGCAAGCTTGGTGTGTTCCAGCCTGCGTTATTATGCTTTTTTGCGTGCATGCAGATGCAAAAACGCACATTGTAACGACTTCGGTGTGTGTATATGTGTATGCGTCTGTCCAGGTATTTCAACTCGGAAAACAAGCAAGCCTGCCGCCAAAATTTTGCCAGTGGGTTCCTCGGCCAAGTGCCACCTCAGAACCGCGGTGCCAACCTTATGCACATCTAGGCCTGCGTACGAGCGCGTGAAAGTTTTGACGGGAAAATCGCTAACTCGGGAACCATAAGAGCTAGAGGGTTCAGCTTTTGCGGCTGTGTTCCCCGCCCATATAGAACCCATAAATTTCAAATTCAGCCCGCAGGTATGCTTGTTCTCACGTACGGCCCCGCGAAGGTTCCTGGCAGGAAAATGGCTAACTTGAAAACCAAAAAAGCTGGTAGGCTGAAACTTTACCATTCCATGCATAACTTAAAAACTTTAAATTCAATCTCCAGATGTCGTGGTTCTCACGTACAATTTCGTGAAGGTTCTTGGCAGTAAAATCACTAACAAATTTTAAGGGATATACCCAGCCCATGTACAACTTAAATATTTCAAACTCACCTCCAGGTGTGCATGGCTCTTACGTACGGCTCCGTGGAAGTTTTTGGCAGAAAGAATGGCTAACTCGGGAACCAGGAGAACTGGGAGGCTGAAATTTTAAGGAGATGTTCCTTGACCAAGTACCATTTAGTTACACAATTAGGCTCCTAAACTTCAAAGGCCAGTGTCCCATATTTTTTAGCTGCTGGGACTCCAAGCGATCTTGCAGCAACACGAAATACTAAAAAAACGCGTGATCGCACGGACCCGCCAGTGCGCATCGCCAATGATGTTTTTTACCATGCTGCGCTGTAGCACTGCACCAGTCAGCAAGGCAGCGCATTGTAACGACCTATCTGGGTATTTTTGCGGGGGTGTGTGCACTGTGTGTATGTGTGTACGTCTGTTTCGATATTTCAACTCGGCAACAGGTAAGTTTAGATACTGAAATTTTGTCGGTGGCTTATATGGGCCAAGTGCGACCTCAGTAAAGTGATATCAACTTTTACACATCTCTGTGTTTCACGCGCAGGTACGCGGAACTTTTGACAGAAAGTTGTAACTTTGGAACCAGATAAATCAGGAAGCCGGAATTTTGGGAAGATTTTCCTTGTCCGCGTGTGATCTAAAAATTTGAAACCCAGTTCCTAAATACACCCGGTTTTCATGCGTGAAGAGTTGAAATTTTTGGTGGGAATTGATAACTCAAAAGTCAAGTAGGCTAGGAAGCTGGGATTTTTGGGAAAGGGAGATGTTTCTGCTCATGGGTAATGCAAAAATTTCAAATTCAGCTTCTAAGTAGATTTGCTTCTCATGTGCAGACACGAAAAAATTTGGCGGAAAATTTTCCAACTCAAATTTCGTCATCCTTTCTCTCGAAATCCATTGTTCAATTTGCATTTCCAATGAATAACCGGTCAGCGGAAATTATTTGTTCCCCTTCGTGTAAAATTCACGGTAATCATGCATGCTGAAGGTTAAGTTTTCACACGGCTTCATGAATAACACTACTATCCAAGCCGACTTCCTTTTTTCCCACATACAATAAATGACCAAAACGCAGCCAGCATGACTGCACATGTTAAAATGTCAAGCAGCAACCACTCGTACTTTTAACAATCTGATGGCCCCAAGATTTGCGTAAAAACGCTTGATCGCACTGGCAAACCTGATGCGTTGCCATCTCCGTTTTTGGGGTACGAACAAGGCTGCATTTTATGACCTGCTTACTGGTTATCCAGGTGCCCGTTTACCTGCTTCCGCTCTCTCATTATTTTTCCGACGAGCTGCATTTTATGTATATCAAATTTTCTTCCCAACTAATGCGACTGTATGCTAAGAAGCATTTTTAGAGACCTAAAACCGTGCAGTTATTTAACAAGGTGTGATCTCAACTCAAAACACTTATTTGGGGTTTTTGTGCACTTTACAAGATGTCAGTGCAAACAATGGATTGATCATCTGTTTTTTTTAAGAAATCGTTGGATCCACTTCTGGAGCGCCTCACAATGCTGGAAAATAATTTCACATTACTTTTATCACGTGCCGAAATCGAGCCATATGCATCGCTGGACGATGCGCTGAATGCGCCTAGTCGATTCAGCCGCCCAATTGACGTGAAGGTTTGAATAACGGTAAAAACAGCGAGGCAGAAAAAATCTCAATGCTCGTGCACAAAATATCTATATTCTTTTTTTTTTTACTCTTAAAACAGGAGTTTAGGGGCGAGTGCAAATCTGTTCCTGGAAGGTGTACTGACAAGCTGTGGATACTGTAAGAAGACCTGGGCCATTTGGTTGCTTGTGACGAAAGCAGAAAAGGTGCCTAATCCTTAACGATGAAGTTACGCCAAAGTTACCAAATTTAGATGGAAAGATGAGCAGGAAAACTTGTTTCATTGCTAAAGAGCTTGTCGTTTTAGTTGACGAGAGGCCTTGTTCGTCAAAGATGCCATCTGACGCTGGAAAGCACTAAAGCAAATTGGAAAAGCTAAATTTAGGTGCTGAGCTGGCAGGACAAGAATGCAAAGTTCTAAATGTCCTTGGCTCACGTCCGAATGTTATTTGAGTGGCAACTGCCAATCACAATGATGCTACCTCTTTTTCTGGAGCAGTGAACACGTCTTTACTTAAGGATTGACAAGATTTGCAAAAACAGTGAATTGGATAGGCGACAGACAAGTAGATCTCTACGGTTCCTGCTTTTGAATGCAAAATTTTGTTGTGAACCAACATCGTTGCTACAGTAACTGTAACAAGTTCGGTCAAGATGCGTAAATACACTTGATGCTGATGTAACAGCAAAAAATAGACATGAGTACAGTACCATACTGATTTTTGTTGAGAAAAGTGTTTTTCAGATGACAGATCCAGTAGTAACGCCGAAGCCAGCCAAGCACAAGCACAAAATGCCATTCTGGAGATCGCGCATCATTGCGTTATACATCGACTGGGCCAAAACTTTTCCCGTTTTCAAAAAGTTGCCCCATTCTGATAAGGTAAGTTTCTCATATGCAAGCGTTTTTATCTGCATGTTAAATAGCCTCCCAAATAAGCCTGCTAAATCAGCTTGCTGTAGTCTCGGGTTGGCCATAGACGGTGTAGTGAAAGTGAAAAACATGTTGGTCGAGGAACGTTGTTTGATCTAGCCGAACACCCGCTCCAAACATTCCGTTCTCCCTCTCGTCAACAATTCTTTTATTTGTGAAAAATAAAAAGTACAATGTCAAAATAGCCGACCAAAAACAGTGCTCTCGAACAATGGTTTAGAGTAAAGGAAGCTATTAATCATGTCATCTGCTACACAGTAATTCGCTTTTTGGCGACAGATGGTGAGCTTGAGATTCTAGCGTGTGTGTGTGTGTGCCGCATTTTATTTACGTAAGCTTAGAAGGCATAATGTTTTGGCAAGCTTGTGCCGTACATGTCCCGTGCGGTTGAACATGGGCTTTAATCCCCGAAAAGTGCTTCTTTTTTGTGTGGTATAAAATGAATACCTATGGGTGGTAATGCAAGTCCAGATATTGGTTATCTTACTTTAGCTATATTAGAATACAAATATTCTATAGTAGACATCAATCCACACATATCTGTGTGTCGATATGTTGATTTATTTCTTGTAGATATAGATTTTTCAACTACGATAACTCCTATTTCCCCTCCTTTCCACCTATCTTATTTTTACACCTTTATATTTTCCTTTAATCCTTCTTCTAGACCTTCCACACCTTTCTTGCCCAATTTCTTCCGTTTTTCTTTTAAATTTATTTAACATATATATTTGCTTCATATCAGTAATGCTTTAATATAAGTAAGAACATTTTACTAAATACATATTAACATTCATTACACGATTAAATCTTAATATTTTATTAATTCTAGCTACCACAATCGTTGTACTGACGGGGTCCAGTTGTGGTATTGGCAAGAAATGTATACGACTTAATGGAACGAAACATTTCTTGCCATTAAAATAATTTTATTAATTTGCAAATTTTGTAATTCCCATCTCTTACTGCTTTTTGTTCATCTATTTCCATCCGTTTTTAATACACCTTCCTATTAATATACCTTATTATATATTTGTGTTTATGCGCATGCGTGTGTATGAATACCCGGACGCAAATTGTACGACTAGCTTGACTGGACTTATTTAGGTGGCACTAATAACGAATCATGCCAGTTCATTTATGATAATGTGCGAAACATTCCGTACGCCGGAACACGTAAGCGATAAAATTGTGCATCCGGATGGCCCATACTTTTCTCGCTATCCACCTTCGGAGAGCTTATTCTTCAAGAAGTAAGTCTGTGCATAATGGTAATGTCGTATCCAGGAAATGTAGGCCAGGTCTTGCAACTGGGAAATTACGAAATCCTTGGTGTAAAAAGATCTGAGTGGTCATGGAATTTTTTAAATGGTCAGGAGCTGTAGCAACTCATGTTTCACTGAAAATGATGTTATTTACCTGGTGCATCACGCAGAGCCCATTCACCTCCCCCGCTTCTGCCTAGGGCTTCTTTCTGCCCTCCTGAGGGTTTTTACATTTAAGTCGCAGATGAAGTCCAGGCGCTAGATAAAGTAGCGATTTGGCGCTTTTCAACTACGACGGCCTCTTCTTATTTTTGCCGGAGCCTTTTTTCTTGTTGCTTTAAAAAGCTATAAGCCGTTGCCAGATGTTTAAAAAATATGATTTTTTGGGAAATGTAGCAACTTTATTTTCCGAAGAAATTTCTGGACACGTAATTTAGCCTAAGTGGTTTAACGCCGGTGATGGTCGCAATGATTGACTATGTAATGCAACCCTTCCGACGTCTCCATATTTCCACCACGGAATTTGCAGCCCTCCAAGCAGTCATGTTTTTTGATCCAGGTGAGCTTGTATATATCGTCTAACTCATCTCTCGGTGAATTTTGTATCACAGCAGTGAACATCCGTAATTTTCTGTTTTTAGATACGGATGGTCTGGACTCAGCGAGTCAACGTAATGTTGCGGCCGAGCAGAAGAAGCTTCTCACAGCGTTATATCGCCATATTTGTTGCAGCTACGGGCAGACTGATGCAAGTGATCGCTTTGCTGCTATTTTGCTGCGAATTCCTACAATCAGAGTAATTTTATGTTTTCTGATAATATGAACAGTGGCGTGCACTGACGAGTCGATGTTCTAAGCTACAGTGAGCGAATCTGCTTATGCACAAAAGAATTTAGTCCTTGTGGATCTCGTCATGCATTCAACACATCGGAAACAACCAAAATTTGAAAATAATTTGAGAATAGTGCTATCAACTTTATTCTAAAAACAGCCCTATCTCTGACCGGGCGTGAGGTGATAGATCAGGACACTGTGTGTTGACTGATTTTATGTTATTCGGTTCGAATTATGTGCTGGATTAGAAAGCAAAATTTTTGAGGTTGTCCATTTTGAACTTATGAAACTGCTCTGACGGGGATCAGGGCATGTCGCTGAATCGGTGAAGGTACTGTGAAGATTAGCTGGTGTTTGCGTGTTACTCACTCTGCAGTACCAATTAGAACCCAATAATTTCACTTTGTAGCAATCATTCTCGTGTTATAACATTACTTACATCTGCATCTGAGCTCAAATTGCTGAGGAACAGGAACTGGTTTCAAGTTTTCGACTTTCTGCTCTCTCAAAAACAATGTTCTCAAAATTTAGCTATTGTAGTCTTGGTCAAATTATCTAGACAAACAGGGTGGGAAGCACGCGCTCGAACAAATTCATACTTACGTAAAAGAAGAAATGCCTTTCAAAAGTTTATCTTTACAAACAGCCTTTCCAGTTCCCTCAAGACTTCGCATATTTTTCCTGTTTGATGCTATACTGTGCAGCTTTTGCAGAAAGTGGCTGCGAAGAAGAATGAATCGTTGCAAATAATTGACATGTTCAACTCGTTTAGCCTGAACTCGCTGGTAAAGGAAACAGCACTGGGCGTCAAGGTAACAGATAGCTTTGCAGAAGCAAACGTCGCTTCAACCGCAACAAATGGTTTCATTTGACTGCCTAGACGCTGTTTGTATTGGTTTTGGAAGGCCGGAGCTTAGTAGTTTGTTGAAGTTTCCTAATTAGTGAGGATGTGCTTCGTCGTTAATGCTGTATTATTTTTGGCAACTTTAGGTCAAGTCATCGGTAGGTTGCAGAATTCATTTCATTTCAAAATCCGGACTTGGTACTCAGCTAATTGATGTGCACCATCTAAAATTATCTATTCGTATGAGAGGGGTACGACTGCTCGATTTGCCAAAACTATTAAGTTAGTGTACTTCGATATGACAAGGCCTTATCGGATTGTACTAGAAATTTCGAAGACGTTTCAAATAAGTTTTTTAGCAGTTGTACATTCAAAACTTTTGTGTACTTGACTGACAGAAATTCTTAGCTATGTTCAAAAGACAATTGCTGAAAAATCCACAAATATGCAGCTCATTTTGAACATTGAAAAAGCAGCGATTACTTTTATGAATGGTGAGGAATGTTGCATCCAGTTTTGGGCTAAATAACGACACAGTTCAGTGCTTGTTTGCAACATATGCGTTAGTATAACTTCATATTTTTGCGAATTTTGTGCCATGATTTCGGTCTTTGTTTTTGAAAATCTGTTTGGCTTATTCATTTTCAAATTTTAAAACCGAATTTTCAAAAATTAACAGTCCGTCGTTCAAATGTTCAATTTTGTGTAAGCCAACAAACCTGGATGCAGTTTTAGATTCTACCTTTTAACATACACTTTGAGGTATGTTTTGGGTTAGCGCTAGAAGATTGTGAGACTGGGGTTTTGTACTGTCTAATTTATCGTTGAAAGTGAGGGCAGTAAGCGTTTTGACCAGTTCATCAGAAAGACGTCCGTTAGGTAACGGTATCTAAAGGGAAAAGGAACGCAATGCTGCTCAAAAACTAGACTGGGCGAACTTGGGTGGCTTTGACAAGAATGATTTGGAACAGTTAACTAGAGGATGAAATGAAGCAAACGGATCGACACAAAAACTTCTGCATTTGCATGCATATCAGCATTTTTCTGCAGTGTAGAAAACGTCTGTTCATGAGGGTACTTGTTTCTTCTTGTTTGCAGCTCATTGCTAAGTGATCTTTTCACTGGTGATCGCATTCCTTGTACATCTGATGTCATGGTTGGATTCTTTATCAGGTTTAATATCATCACGTTTCAGTTTTTGTCTGGATAAAAAATGTCTGTGACTGCGAAATCGCAACATATTAACAGTTCTGAAGAATCGCAACTGATAATTTGATAAGGATCGCAAAATCGCAATTGATAATTTGCTTGTTGGCGTAAATTATCAGTTAGATTCAGTGAAACTAAGTTTGAAGAAAAGTGTCGGGTCTTCAGTTACACTTTCACCTAGAGCATATTTAAATTGTGGTGCAGAACTGTTTTGACTTCGGACACTGCTATGACCGGAGTTTTTTACGAAGATCACTTTTCACGAGTGACTTTTTTGCAGCGTGCAGAACATTTAAGAAAAGATGGTGGGGAATAACTTTCAACGAAAGATTCATTGACATAAATTAATCAGCAACACACACTAGGGTTACCATTGCGATCTAACCTTTTTGTCTGATTTCGTGCAGTTATATGATCGCTAGCAGTGAAACATTCACTGGATTGCAATACGCTTTAATGGACTGAAAAACCCCTGTTTAATAATTTTATTTAATTTTGTTTAACATACTAGTAACAGTTGCTATTTCCATTTTAAGTGTAACCCCTCACCCTTAATCAGATTTGATATTTGTCAAGTTTTTATTAATTCATTTATACATGTATTGCTTTACAGTATAATACGTGCACTCTTATTGGCCTCTTCTTCCACGCTCACGAAAGGAGCATTGGTTGAACATTGGAGGGATTGCTCTAAAGGGCCTTGCGAAAAATTTAGCATGCTTGATTACCGAGAGATAACGATTTCAATGTTTATGAAAACAAAATTTTGAAGCGTCCACACGCACTGACATTAGCGAAAGCTGGTTTTGAAGTCTGGGAGTCACAGACAGACAGGTAACGTCTCTTACAGCCTTTTGGCCTGTTTGATTTCCACGAAAGTAAGTTGCTGACAATTTTGCAATTTGAACATTTGACATGTCTAAACGCGAAGTATACTTGTATGCAGAAGTACATTTTAAGTTTCCTGGTGATACTTGAACGGAAAACGTCCTCATAACTCAGTTTGGGACGTATCAGGCGAGCCGGTGCGATCATGCATTTTTACACAGTTTCTTGCGGATTTTAATGCTGCGTTAATACGATTTTTACTCGCGTTGGCTTCATTGAGTATCTTTTATTTATTTCATTTTTCCCTTAAGCATCATTATTAGATCACATTAGTAGGTCACACGCGCATTATCTGCGTTACTGGTCATTACAAATTCAAATTATCATAAAGGTGGCTTCATTTGATGTGGTACTACTTCCTATTTGGGAGACAAAAATCCTGGCAAAATTTTAGCCACTGTTTTCAGGCAAGTTTTCGAGTTAGCATAGTACCAAGTCGAAAACTTTGACGTGGTTGTACGCGCTGCACACGCGTGCGCGACAGCTGAGTTTAAAGATCTTTAGCTCGCACGCGCACAGAGAATACCCCTGTAAAGCTTCAGCTTTGTATCTTACCTGGTTCGCGAAATCGATATCGAAATCGTTTCCCACCAACGAGATTCGCTTTTTTTTTTTTTTTTTTTTTTTTGGGGGGGGGGGGGGGGGGGGGGGG